CACCGCCGTCAGACCGCCGCCCGCCAATAGTCATCGTCGTCGCCGCCGCCGCCGCCAGCAAAGTTCAAAGCTATCTCTGTCAACACCCGCCGCCCGTTAGCCACAACTTAAGGCCTATCGGCCATGACGCCTCTGTCACCACACCGCTGCCGCCATCCGCCCGTCCATTGTGTTTTAGCCGCTGAAACCCGTCCGTCGTCGTCAGCCACATCGTCGCCGCCTGTAATTTTACAGCCGCTGTCAGCCTTGCAACAGCCAAAGACCACCGCCACCACTAGCCACCAACTGCACGTCCATGGCCGCCACCTCAGTGCCCACCGCAGCCACCAGCCACACGCCACTGCCACCAACAGCCCGCACTAGTCACGCTACTACCAGCAACAGGGACGTTAATTTCACTTTGGTGTGGTTTTCAAGTTGTGGGTTAGTTTATTGAAAATTTGATATCTTAAAGGGACTTATTTGCAAATTCATAAAAACTAATACACTACAATTTGATTCATGGGTTAAATTTATAATTAATCAAACTTAATTCGTATTTTAATATTATTATTTTTTATTGGGTGAATAATAAATAATGTTTTCACATAAAAATATTAAAAAAAAAAATTATATAGTTAAGTCGTTCGGATATTTAAATAAAAAAATCCAACATTGAATTGAAATAATCGAGTTTTTTGAATTAAAAAATAAAATAGTTGAACCGAAATATAAAGTTTTGAACATAAATTTTAATTCGGCCCATTTTTTCCGATGATGTGCAAACTGATTGTCATTAATGTTCAAGTTGTATAGCTCTAATGTGCACTCACAATATATAAAAATATATATATAAAAAAATGATAGTGCTTTTAATATAGTTCGGTCGGTTTGGTTATTTCGGTTATTTAAAAAAAATTAAAGCCGTCAACGAACTGAAATAACCATGACTTTGAAAGTAAAAACAACTAATCTAATCAATATATATAAAATTTTTATCAGGATATTTTTAGTTCGGCCGATTTTTGTCTATATGTGCAATCCATTATCCATTACTGTGCAATTCAACAAATACTATTGTGCACTCACATCATATACATTTTTTAATGATTTATTCCAAATCAACCTAAAATCGAACTGAAATAATCGATTTTTTAGATCGGTTAACCGAATTACCCTAAATAATTGAATTTATTTATGTGTTATGTTATAAAAATACATTTAGTATTTTAATATTAGTATTTAAAATATATATTATTTGTTGGTGAAAAGACAAAATATATAAAACACCAAAACAATAATATGCATTCCCTTAGACAATAATGTGTTTTTCGTTTACTGTTATCGTGCAATTTATTGATCGATTATGTGCATTTCAATTTTAAAATCATTAATAATATGTATTTCAATTAATATTATTTTGCATATATCAAATTATTTAAACAATAAAACTATATTTAATATTTATATTTTTTCATTTACTAATTTATTTTATTATTTATTGAAATAAATAATATGTAATCTCTAACATATAAATAAATTATTTTTTATATAATTATGTGTGCGAATTATACACTAATATGCTATCTCACATGTATTAATGTGCACTCCATCTAACTATAATGTGCATTCCACATTATTATATATTTTAATTTTCATTTTCATAATAAATGATGTGAATTTTATTTATGATAATTATTGGTTTATTAAATTTTTGTTAAATTACAGATATGCCCCTTAGACTAGATTGAAAATAATTAATATGTCTGAAATTGCACATAAGTCCTTTATAATTATCAAATTTACAAAATTTTGCCCAGCCCTAAATCTATGGACTAAACCGCGAATTCTGAAATAGGAGTCAATTCACGCAATTTCATGTTTTGGCGGACGACGCCGACGCCGGTACAGGCGGAGACGACGACAATTCATACAGAAGGAGGTTGGAGTGTTCCAGCGGCGGAGGTCGCGGTGGCATCGGCGGACAGTGGGGTATCGGAGTTGCATGGCCGCGAGGTGTGAGGAGAGATGACGATGACAGCGGCTGTGTCGAGGAATTGGAGCTATTGAGGTGACGATGATGACGTCATGTTCGATCATCTTATGTCAAACATTTAACATAAGATGAGTTAGATCAATTGGCTAATAAGGTCTTTTGATAGGCCGTCATGTTCGAATCCCACTCCTTTAATTTTTTTGCAATCTGCCACATAAGAGTTATATTTACAA